CTTCCCATTCATTTTGGCACCCGTCAATATCCGCCCATTTCCAACTCCCTTCAGCTCCTCTAATTGTTTCCAATCTGTCGTCATTTCTTCTCTTTTCCATCTTGGCCTCCCCAGATCTTAAGAGAGAGTTCCCCTCTCGAAACTCTCTTCCTTGACTATGAACTAAGCTATTATTGAATTAGCTTGAGGATACTTAAGAAACTCACAAATTTAAATTCCGGACGTGCCTTTATTGACCAAGGTCACATTTGAGGGGGTGATTTACAAGAATGACCTTGGAGGTGGGTGGGTGGTCTTGAAATGTTGACCCCGCTTGTACCATGGACAAAACTTCGAGTTTAACTAGTTTTGACTTTTGATCTTAAATGATCTACCCATGGGGCAAGTGGGGATCAAAAGTTCAAGACCGCGTATTTCCAACCTAGCTCACACAATTCATTGGTTTCTAGTTTTGTTGGTGTAGCTAGTTGACTAGCTAGGCTGTTTTAAATACTCCTGTCTTGAGATTTTTCCCTTACATCTTATTAAGTGCCTATTTTTCTCTATTAAGTTACGCATCTGATTTTCGTCTCTATTTCCGTAACAGGATGACCAATTCATTGACATGGTATGCCGCGCTCTTGTGAATGCTCATCATACATGATAACTAGAGGAACCACCGCGCTTCACTTGATGACATAAAACAGTGTTACTGGCAGAAATATGGATCTCTATTGGGTTCCTGCTGTTTATAGTGTCTTTGAGACCTATCTTGTATATAGTATTATGGTCTTGGTTTTACTAGTTTAGATTTGATGTTTTACCTTACATACAATGTTTGTGGGTTTTACTATTCTGGAACTTCAATGCTTCATTTAGCCTAAGTTCCATCTCTGTGTTTTTTGTTCATTAACAAAAAACAATCATGAAATTGGAGTTTCTATCTGAAAACCAGCGGAAGTTCCACGTAGATTTATTCCACCAGCTGTAGCAGCTGTCGACTGATAGGCGACCCTATCTCTATGCAGAAGGAGTGGTCATCGAATAAGGTTTCCTTTCCTATATTTTTTTGAATTTCCCTATTTGATCTAGTAAGGGGAAAGGCAGATCGCTTACCTTAAACAGAAGATCAATATCGTACACAAGGCAATATCGCCCTATTAGAGATTAAAAAAAAAATAGTCAGACCTTCTTCCTAATTAATGTTTTTTTTAAGTGATGTGTAAATGAAAACACGACAAGTATTTAGAGACAGAGAGAGTACGGCTCCTTTAACTCATGCGGAAGATACAATCAATGACTTCGTTAATATACTAAATTACTCCATCCTATATTCTTTCATTTCATTTAAAAGGGTAATTTTTTTTCTTTCAAAATGCACAAACAGCCACTAAATTTTTAATTTAACCAAAAGGACACTTTGTTGGTCAGGGAGCGAGATATGTTTGTGATTTAATTGTCGTTAATGATGTAAAAAAATCAGTGATACATGTTTATGATTTTCATTCTTCAGATATATCAGCGATTGCTCATTTTTTTTCTTTTAATTATCGATGTCCAGCCAGTGAGTTTCTCAAATTTTATTTTATTTTTTAAATGCACCCCATCAAGAATTTTTTAAAAATAAAATAAAAAGGAACATCTCACCCATTATAAGTGAAATGTAATTTTAATCTATTTTTTCTGAAAAAAATCGTTGTTCTGTCATCGAGTTTGTCAATTTTTATATTTTTTTGAATTCAACTTGCTGCACATGAACTAACAATTGAAAAAAAAAAAAAGTGAAAAGTTCACATGCATGTAAAAAACAAAAGTTAGGTTCTAATTCATTGGTTGAAAATTATTTTCAGCTTATAGGTGCATTTGACTACGCACAAGAGGATATAGGTGCATTTGACTACGCACATTATTTATGAAAATAACGTCGAAATAATATATTTCAGCTTCTATTTATAGGTGATCAAACAAAATATTTTCACTGACATATGAGACATTCTTGCGTATTAATTGAAAATCCAAAACATGTTCAAAAAGGATATCAACATACGGCGGGAAGATATGAGGCATTAGTACATATATTTTGAAAAAAAATTAAATTATTATAACGATCTTTAATTATTTTTTAACTACTGATAATTTTTATTTATTTTAGATTAGGAGTAACAAAATGCAATATCGTCGAGCTCAGATGATTGAAAATGATGCAAGTCAATCTAATTAAATGAGATATTTAGCCGAGGAGTTTGCCCGTCTGCTAAATGAAATATGAGTGAACTCCTCTACTAAATATCTCATTTCATTAAATTGAGTTGCATCATTTTCAATCATCCGAGCTCGACAATACTACATTTCGTGACTCCTAGTGTAAAATAAATAAAAATAATGTAAAAACTTATTAGTAATTAAAAAATTATTAAAAATCGTTATAATGATTTAAATCTTTTCAAAATATACGTACTAATGACTTATGTCTTCCTGCCATGTGTTGATGCCTTCTTTGTGTAACATGTTTTAAAATTTCAATTAACATGCGGAATGCCTCAAATATCAATGAAAGTACTTTATTTGATCAACTTATAAAAAGAGGCTAAAATATATTATTTCGACGCTATTTTCATAAATAATGTTCGTAGTTAAACGTACCTATATCCTCTTGTGTTATTTTGATTTGTTTATCACGTTTGTAATGATTTTCATTAAAGTGAGTGTACGGTCCAGGAATATATTGAAAATAACCAAACTAACTCACAACACGATCAATTATGTGCCACTCAGGATAAATTTCACGAATAAGAAGTATGTGTGCCATCTAGACAAATTGTCCTAACCGACACCACTCAGGTAATTCTTTAATAACTTCTTTTGAATAAGACTAGCAAATAATCTATATAAAAAAAGGCAAGTAAGATAATATTAAATATTTTGACAAAAAATTAAAAAAAAATTAGTTATGCATATTAATTAAAACTAACAAAAAATTTAGTGATACCAAACATTTATACTCAAAGGACAAAATAACAATAGCTATCTACCTAAATATTCTATAGTAGAAAAAATATCACATGTATATACAAAAGAATCTTACAAAATAAAAAAGATTTACTATTATGTTAGTATATGATTTGATGTAACACAACAACATAATATACTTTGGAAATATGCCAAGAACTATGTATTTGTTACTATATTCACATGTTGATTTTCATCTTGGACAGTGGGATACAAATATAAATAATTAAAAATTTAAACAAAATGAGTATTTGTTTAGAAAGTTTTTTTATAAAACTTATTTTTTTGTAATAGAAAATAATAATATTTAAATACCTGATCATCAGTTAGGTTATCTAGTACATCTCTAATCACGACAATTATATTTTGTGCCTTATTTTGATGAATTCTTCTACGTCAAGTTCAATTACGTGCAATTGGAGCTTCAAGTTGATTGGTCCTTTGAGGAAACAATGATGCTTGTAGTAGAAGGAATACCCTTTCATGTCCAAATCTATAATAAATAAAATATAACAATTTTTAAAATATAATAAAATTTAAAGTGCAGAGTACTAAAGCACAAAAAATAATTTAAAAAGTTTATTACATACCTGCACTAGAGAGAGAAATCCACAAACAGCCTTTGATGTTTGCAATGATGCGCGACATAAGCAATTATACAAATATAATAATACAATCGTTTCCCATGCTTGTATTGACATTGCATTTAAATTTCTCATGTCAATTAAAAAGTCCAAATTAATCTAATTATTAGATTTATTTGGAAAAATACTATCCCACCGCATTATCATATCAGATATAATCTAGATCCATGTTACACCTCATTCTCAATCGAATCATCGGTAATATCATTTAAATTTTAAATCATTAATATACTCAATTAATTTGGATATAGACATTCTACTAACACCAGAAAAACAATCACTATCGGGAAACTATCCCATCACCATTTGGTGTCTACCTAAAAATTTCTAAATTATTAGCGTCATTTAAAATTATATGATTACCATCTATAACCATTCCAAACAAAATTTTCACATCTTACAAAGTAATGATAGTTTCACCAGTTCCCATACGAAAGGTATGTGTTTATGATTATGAACGCCACATTTCAATTAAAGCAGAAATTAGTCCAAAGTCTTGACACAAATATTACATTATTAATTTTTTTACTCACAAATTTCAAAACACTACAAATGCAAGGATGTAATGGACAACGATTTATTTGTTGCCAAATTTAACATGATCGCGACGTGTATATAAACATTTTTTCTCTCATCTTAAGCTACCATTTCAAATTCCTTCGGAACGATGTTAAACTTAAATTTTGAATACATCATACTCCGTTTGGATCTAGAATGTACATAGATATTTGAAAAATGCATATTTATATTTTAAAAAATATCAAAAAATTGTTAATGTTAATACAACGGTTTAAAGAGGAGTATTTTCAATACAAAAGTGATTGATAACTAATTCTTAAACTTTTAAATAAAATAAATTAAAATTTACCTCAAATTGTAGACTTCACTAAGAAAATATAATTCGATAGATAGAGAGTTGGTATTGAAAAAGTTTGAACCAACTTACAAAGAACAACTGTTGGATATAAATAAGGAAATTATGAGTGGGGACAACATTTGAAAAAAAAATTACATATGAACTTTTTGTCCACATCTTTAAATTATAAAATTCTTTTAACAGTAAATAAAACAATAATTCCCGTAAACCTTTATTTTATCTATTAAAATAAACAACTTGCATGTGAATAATTTCAGATAATAAAATCTGTCAAAACATCACGTAAACTGTGACTGATTTTTCTTATCCACTTTTTATGATTATTATATTATTTTACACAAGTAAAAAAAATTCCTAATTTTTCTTGTGAATTTAACTTTTTCAACTCGTGAACTATTTTTATTTTTTAACCAATGCATGTTATCTTATCTTATCTTTTGTTTTTATCATGCATGTGATGAACTTACTGATTTTTGAATAGATTCCCCAACAAAACAGAACCCCTGCATCTTTTCAGAACATAAATTACATTCAAATCGACCAAAATTGACGCTCTACGTCAGCTGGTTTACATGTTTAGAACTCATAATTTTATGAGATAAAAAGCCAGCTACGAGAATGAATTTTTGTATCTGAGTAGAGAAAATGACTATGGGATAGCTACGGACGCAAAATATGTGGAACTTAAACGTTTACACTAACACACATTGAACCAATGATAACAACTTGGCCAAAGATGAGCTTCCTTAAGGTTACAAAAAGTAATGCTTACAAGCGCCTGATGCAGAAATGTCCTCCGACTTCAGGAATCAAGTGCTTTTTACTTTCCGTGATGAGGGACGACGGAATAGACTAATAAGATCGTCAAGACCCTGTCGAACAATACCATCAGATTGGTTGGATGAGTTCGCATTTTCTTTTCTTCGTCTTTGTATTTGATTGGTACACCAAAATAAGGGAATCAAGAGTAACTGAAACCAGAATACGTACCCTCGTGGTGATAAAAAGAAAACTGAAAAGTGTAATCAAGTATGATCCTAGAACCAACAGCAAAAGTAAGTCAAATGTCACGCTGGCAACCTGCAACGGGAACAATTTAAGCAGTTAATTACACGAGTGGTTCGAGATGCTCTTTTCTTTTCTTTTTCCTGACGAAAATAAGTGGTCGGATATGCTCATACATGAGACATGGAACACTGGTGATAAGAAGAGGGCTGCACGACTACAACTATGCAAGGCTAAAAATATAAAGTGAACTATGCAAACATGTGTACTACTGTAACAACTGAACCTACAAACCAAACTTAACAACTACTACTCCTGCATTCCCTTGTCGTTCTGCATGCCAGCTGAAGAGATCTTATTTGCTTCTAATTGTAAGGCCAGGTTTAGTATCTTGTTATATTTTACAGGCTCGTCTTTGTGTAGTTGGTTATATTGAGCATCTTCATTTATGAAAGCTTTGATGAATATTTTCATACACACAGCTCGTGGAAGCATTGATCGAGTTAGACTATACAAAAGGGTCTTCATTCAATACATTTAAGCAGTACTTATATTTCAAACTTCTACAAAATTACAGTATTATTTGCATAATGTTAGGAACCACAACCAAGGGAGGTGGAGTTATTTACACACCTGATATATATGCAACTTCCCACTAGTTGAATCGTAAAAAGTGAACGTTCCATCTAGAGTCTCATGCTGTACATTCACCTCTGCAGTATGATCAGTTAATTCCTGCAGAGACATCGAAAGCATATGTAGGTCAAAAGTCTAAACAAGAAAATAAAAGGCACAGTTACATTAAGGAGCTCAAATTGAAGTATGTCAGTGCTCAAAAGAAAGCCTGAAGAGGTCCAACCAAACATCTCCATGTTCACCAGTGGCATGGGACACCATTACAGGTTAAAGATGTGCATAAAACTGATAGACCAGTTAGTGTGTGACTAAGTAATAGGTAAATTATTTGCCATTCTACTCACTTTTACAACATTAATTGCCAAAGAAAAATGACAAAGGCAAGCCATCATGATGAGGGATAGTGAATATATACAAAGATGTCCTTTACATTATACACACCAAGACATTATGAGGATATTTAAAAGGAAAAAAGAGAATCAAGTAACTAATCAGTATAGTCAAGCGTAACAAAATACCTTCTCCAGTGCCTTAATAAGCGGGTCATTTTTTGAAAGAAAAGGTGCCACTCGAGGTGTTGTGGATAAGAGATCTAGCCAAGACCTTATGTAGGAAGGATTGACGGCTAAGCTACTATCATCTGCAAATATGCTTATGCTTTTCTTCTCCTGGCTGTAAATGTGTCTCTGTGTATAAAGAATTTTGTTAAACACACTTGCAAAACTACTGTTGGCTGCATGAGATAGCTCACTTTATACATGAAAAATGCTTGAAACAAGAAAAATAGTAGAACATCCTTCCGATTACATAAAGGAAAATCTACCGAAATACCCTTCGGGGTGGCCCAGTGGTTTGGGCTTGGGACTTCCATATTGGAGGTCTCAAGTACGAAACCCCTTGCCAGCGAAAGCAAGGGGTTTGCCTTCTGGGTCGAGCTCGTCACACCAGGCTTGCCTAGTGCGGGTTACCTCTCCTATGTGGTTTGCGAGCTATTGCATAGGAGCGGGGGTTTTACCCTGTGCGCACCCAAAGGGTAGCGGCTGCGGGTTTCCCTTGTCATCAAAAAATTAAAAAAAATCTACCGAAATTTAAGTCATACAAAGCTGCAGAATAAAGGAGAAAGAAAGCATATACGAGAAAAGTTCTGATTATCTAAAATCTGAACCAATTGATTTTTTTTCCCGAACTGAACCAATTGATAGATCATACAATTCTTCAGTAGTAATTACAGACGTGAAAATCATCTATAACAAAATCCTATATATAGAAATGCAAATGGTTTAGACATACAGTCCCCCCAACCTAAAAGAAAAAAAAAGGCTACAGAAGGATACATGTTTCCTGAATCATGATTCATAATTTGTCATTGACACTTAGGACTAAGCAAATGTAATGAAGAGAATAAGGACATCTTTCATAAAATCATTATCCAGAAAATCTCAAATAGTATACTCACAGAACTACTCAAATTTCAATCCATTTGTTTAAGGTAAATAATATGATTAATGAATGGGGGTACCCCCGTTTACAAGCCGCTACTCAAAATTCAATCATGTTGCTCATTTAATTAATTAAAGGAAAGGATGCACAGAAACTAGCTGAAATAATACTCATGAACAGCTGGAGTTTCAAGAGTTCTTTTTTTCTAGGAAAAGTCATTAAGAATTTCCCGAGTATTAGGCCTAAGATTAATTGTAGACTTGGAAAACCTGAAAAGAATGTCAAAGAAGAGCAACATTGGGGTTATTCTAGATAAAGGGTAGCTATTGAATTATGATTTTATTAGCTATAGACTCGCTCTTACTGTTAGCATATCACTAGGGATGGAAATGGGGCGGGGCGGTTGCGGGGAAAACCCGCAAAAACTTTCACCTCCCCGCCCCACATAACATAATTTTTCTCTTTTCAACCCGCCTCACCCTGCCCCACAAACTTTGTTATTGTTTTCTTTATAAAATAAAGCTTTCTTGAATGACTTTGATAGCTTATTCTATCATAAAAACATCACTAATGCAATAGCTATGAAACATTACATCAAAAGACAAGTGTTTGACAGTTTAGAAAAACTATTTAAATATATAGAAAAAGTGACGAACAACAGAAGAGAACTGATTACTATAAAACAATGTCAAAAGAAAGTGATTCCAAGAATAGCTGAAAAATGGATTCTCAATTAACAAAACACAGTTATAAAAGAAAAATAAATTATTGATTCTTCAAAATTTAAAAATAACTAAATAAGTCAAGGGAACAAGCTAATAAAAGCAACTAAAAGTGTTAATCTGGCAAGTATTTGATTGCTGGTTTTCTTGCCTAAAGCCTAACGGAAGAAATTGTTTAGCGATTTCGCATTGGGCTTATCTCAAACCCGCACCCCGACCCGCCCTTCCCCGCAAAAGCTATAACCTGCCTCGCCCAACAAAGGTTGTAACACGCTCCGCTCCACCTCATTGCCATCCCTACATATCATCAATTAGGGATGGCAATAGGGCGGGGTGGAGCGGATTACAACCTTTGTGGGCGGGGCAGGTTTAATTTCTTTTTAATAAAAATAATGTGGTACGGGGTGGGTTGCAGGTTTGAGATTAACCCAATGCTAAATCGCTAAAACAATTTCTTCCGGTAGGCTTTAGGCAAGAAAATCAACTATCAAATACTTGTTGGATTAACATTTTTATTTGCTTTTATTAGCTTAATCCCTTGACTTATTTAATTATTTTTAATTTTTAAAGAATCAAAAATTTATTTTTCTTTTGTAATTGTGCTATGTTAATTGAGAATCCATTTTTCAACTATTCTTGGAATCACTTTCTTTTGACATTGTGTTATAGTAATCAGTTCTCTTCTAATTCTTCTGTTGTTCGTCATTTTTTCTATATATTCAAATAGTTTTTCTAAACTGTCAAACACCTGTCTTTTGATGTAATGTTTCATAGCTATTGCATTAGTGATGTTTTTATGATAGAATAAGCTATCAATTCAAAAAAGTTCTATTTTATAAAGAAAACAATAACAAAGTTTGTGGGGCAGGGTGAGGCGGGTTTAAGCAGGGCAGGGTGGGTTGAAAAGAGAAAATTATGTTATGTGGGGTGGGGTGGGGGGGGTGGGGGGTAGAAGTCTTTGCGGGTTTTCCCCGCAACAGCCCCACCCCATTGTCATCCCTACCATCAAGAGATTCTCAAAACCACAAGGAAAATTGGGACTGCAAACACCATCTGCCCAATAGTCTCAGCACTATGATCATACTTCAAATTAAAAAGTTACGCTTTTAATGTTGAACAGAATATGTAGCTTCATTGAAAAACTACTCAGATAAGAATCAACTAGGACTCAAAAGAAGCATTCATGACAAGACGATAAAGAGGCCAAAAAACTCATGTTTTCCTTTCTCAAGTTTACTGTTCGGCTGCCATTGTTTATTTCTCATGTAGAAGACAATGGCATTGTTGGAAATTGAAGGTTTTATCAATTTATGCAATCAGCAGTGCAATGGATGAAACAAAATTTTGTACTCCAAGGGAAAAGAGGAAGGCTAGGTCCTTACTGCTAGACTTTCAGCAACAAGCTTGATACTTCGAATGATTGAGGCTTCACTGGTAAAATGCCTGCACAGGAAACCAGGAGTTCAACAAATGGCCATCAGAGAAGTTCCATAAATAGTACAAAGAGGTATTAAAAGCTAGGCTACGACCTTTCTTTCTCAAAAAAAGAAAGAGCTAACCACAACCTGTTATCAGTCAGACCTCCCGTGCTTTCCAGTAATTCAGGTGCAGTAGAAAGTTCAGAAAGTGTTGCTGCAGTGACTCTCAACCTTGAAAACTGTTCATGCTCCCAGGCTACCTACACCACTTAGTAGCTTCAGCAAAGTAAAGAGACTAGACATTTCATACAAAAACAATTAAACAAGTAAAGAAGGTATATCTGACTATTTTAACAACCAGTAAGAACAAGCAGCTTTAACAGGGAGACTATAGAGACTATTCAGGTTAAGTGCGATGCGTAATCTCTAGTCTACTGAATGTGACTTCACGTAGTAGTCAATAAAATAGCTTAGAACAAGGTCTCTAGCTAGTTTACGTTACGCAACAAAAACTGAAACTGTCAAAAACTTCAATGCAAATTACCATCTGTAACCATCGATAAGGGCTTAACTTCTATCTATGACAAAATTACGGTTATGATGCATAAGAAATCATAAAAGCATTTCTAGAACTATGCAACAAGGAAACGGGAAAAAAAATCTTCCATTTCCTCAACTTCATGCTCATTCCTCATCCAAATCGAAAGAAGGCTACTTCGCAGACTAAATTTGGATAGGAAGTCTGAAAAAATAATGGTATTCACTATTAAGTCTACTTTTTTCCTTGTCCTTTGAAAGTAAAAAGAGCAATTGAGTAGTAATTGAAAAAAAGGAAGAGATTACCTTAAGCAATTCTTGTTATTCATATTCTTTTTCAGTTGAAGTTCCTATATTGATAAGTTTTCCAGAGGCTGAAGAAGATCCAGGGGAAAGGTCTGAGATCGAAAGAGCCTTGGACCAATTTGAATTGGCCAAAATTAGAGAACGGAAGGTCACTTGAATGAACAGATTTAGCCCTTTTATTGAATCAGAGAAGGCACGACAAGTTAGAAGATTGTGAACCATATTCAACTTTAAGGCATTTCGTTGCACTTCAATCGCCTGGGCCGGCGGATCCAATTTATCAAAATTCTCGTTTATGAATTGGAATGACCTATGTTGTAATAGTGGAGAGAAGGTGAACCAGCTTCCTTTGGTCGCCTCTCCCATCTAGTCAAGTAGCTTTTTTCTCCTTAAGCTGCTCCGTGGCCTATTGGGAGCTTTTGTCATAGTAGAAGTTTCTACTTCACGTCTTAAGCCCTTAACCTCATTAGAAAGTAGAGTTGTCTAGTTATGAGTATCTTTTACGTCACAGGCCACATTGTCTGCAACATCTTCCATTGCATCACATTCGTGAGGGCTGAGTCTCCTTTCTTGAGCGATCACCTTTACTCGTTGGCAGAATGTCTTGACATGTGCATCTAGTTTGTTGAGGTGACACTCCGTTCTGCAATGGGGATTAGGTGAATACATTTGGAATTATAAGCCAGCATGGGAGAGTAGGTTAAAGGAGAGTGTTACTTGAGGATGTCAGTGATGAGCAGGTTGACTGGGGGTGGTCATTTCGGGGCAAGAAATGCGATTAATAACATCTTCTCAGATTCTTCCATCAAGGTCAGTGTCAGTCATGCACATGGTAATACGGAAACTGGTTAAAAAGAAGTATGGAGATGATACTATCCGCGTAAGATCAGATGTGAAGGCTACTCAGGAAAACACGCTGCATAGAAAGCCTTTTGCTATGGTTATTTTGTTTTGCCTTTAAGTTTTATTTTAATATGGTAAACTACGCATTTCATAAAGTTCAAACAAATAATTAGAGCCCATTTGGATTGGCTTGAAAAAAGTAGCTTCTAAGTCTAAAATAAAAAGTCAAAACTTAAATGACTTTTGGTTTTTAACTTATTTTAACCTTGCCAAACACTTCCTAACTTATTTTAAGTCATTTTTGACTTCTTTTAAGTTATTTTTATATTTGTCAAACACTTTCAGAAGTCAAAAACTGACTTAAAAGTAGGTTTGACCAAACACACCCTAAGTGACTAAAATTGCACAAATTGTTCAAGCAACCACTGCATATGCACAAAGCCATGAATTGTCAATGAGATTGGAGATTGTGACCAAACTGTACATTAAATACAAATCTCATTCTGTTATCATCATTGTTGCCACAATAACTACTTCAATCACACCCAAGGGCAGCTTCGAACCAAAATAACCAACTTTTACATTATCATAAACAATGACAATGGATTCATTCGAGTGAAACAATTGTTGATTTCATTGGAGAGGAAAGCAGTAAGCTTGTATGGTCCAAAAGGTATGCTATGTAGCTTTTAGTGAAAATTTGTGCAACTTCACACAACAACACGAAAATTGCACCACCACAACGGAAAGCAGTCTACAAACTTCAAATTGCAGACAGAACCCAAAAAATAAATTAAGCATCATTTCTAATGTAAGGTCTGAAGCTCTAGAATTGGTCCAAGGTTTGAGAATAACCAATCAACCACAAACCAGTTGAGTTGGCTATATACAGTGTTTTGGACGGCGAAAGGCGACAAGGGCCTGCCTCGCCTTTTTGAATTGAGGCGCCAATTAATACCAAAAATTTAAATAAATGGATGATTACAAAAAAACCATCCCTGATTTAAATACTAAATGCTCCCAGGCACTTTTCCCTAGGTGGATTCTAGAGATCCCTTCTGGGTGTCTAGAGATCCCTTTTCCGGTGGTTCTCTGCCATCGGAATCTCTTCCCTCTCTTGCCTTTTTTTTCAGGTAGCATTTAGAACATGGAGAACAGGTTGTACTTCAGACAGGGGGGGAAATCTTATGATCTTACCGAGTCAATATCTGCTTCAGAGAGATGGTTTGAGTTGGTGGAGAGTACCAGGATGTCTATCAGGCGTATGATATTGAGTAGGGGAGCTTTACTTTGGTCAAAAGATTAAGGAAAGCTTCTGAAAGCAGGGGGAAAAACTTCATAACATGGAGATGCAGAGACATTTCAACATATATTTATTGCTCCCTGAAGTTCAACAAGTATGGGCGATTTATTTCTGTTATTACAGTGAATGGGTAGAGTAGATCAGTAATTATTATTCCAGAAAATACATTTAATGAGGGATGGGGGAGTCTGGTAACAAGAGTGGAAAACTTCATTGAGAGAAAAGTAGAGAAGAAAGGGGAATTTATTACAAAAAGGGAATTAAATCTCAATACAATCGTTGGGAAGGGGGATTACAAGGGAGCTCTGCACAATAGTAAATGGAGCAAGAGAGAAATGAATGTAGCCATTGAGAATTCAATGCTGACGGTGTCTTTGGATGTAGATGACAGCAACCTGTTACGAAGATGTCTTGTTGGCAGGTTTTGTGGAGAAGGAGATGTGCCAATTTGAAATGAAGTGCGCAGATGGGCCCAACAAACGTGGAAAGGAGCTCATAATGTTCAGGTGTACGACATGAGTAGCTTCCTCTTCCTCTTCGAATTTCAGACCAGAAGGATGGCTGAACATGTTATCATAGGTGAATGGAAGAGACAAGGTGTGACTTTGCAGCTTGAATGGTGGTCTCCAACGGTAGGAGCCTTCCCAGATGAAAAAAGGTTTGATTGGTTTTGGATTAGGGTTTTAGGGCTACCATTGCAGCTCTGGAACAACAAAGTGATGGAAAAGATAGGTGATGAATGTGGGGGGTGGCTAGAAACTGAAAAGGAGACAGAAATCAAAAATCATATGAGATGGGCAAGAATCAGAGTTAGAGGACCAAGGGAGAAGATCCCCCATGAAGATTGAGATCATCGATAATGGTTTGATATACTCACTGCCGGTAATGGGTGGAGTCGCCGGCGACATATAGATTGATGGAGGTGGAGAAGAGAGCAGATTGAGGTGATAGTGACATACTCCTGGATGGTACAAAAGACAGACCTATGCTGCTAGAATACAGAGATAGAGTCTTAAAAAGAGGAAAAGGTCCGGCAGCAAAGAAAACAACGGATATCGAGGTTTACAAGGAAGGGGTACAAAAAAAGGACAACAGTCACATGGCTAGTGGAAGTGGGCCCCCTGAGCACACTTTAAATATTGAATAAAACACAAGCCCATCTCACACAACAATTGGGCCTTTCTAGCAAGCCCAAAACTGCTATGTTCACTGAGCCTTTTTCTGATTTCAACAACTCAAATTGGGGAGAAGCAAAACATCCTTTTAAGCACTCTATAATGGATTGGGAACTGGGAAAACACATGGAAATGGAAGAAGAAGAACCAAAAACCAGAAATCAGAGAATAGAGGAGGCTCAGGCAGAGGACATGACTCAAGAAGAAGATATCATAGCTTCTAAAGGGGAGACAAATAGTTACTGTATGAGCGGGGGGGGGGAACCATTGAGCATCGAAGAAAATCTTACAGAAGAGATGATAGAGACAAGGGCTACAATCTGGGTACACCTTAATGTGATCAAATTAGGGCAAGCCTTTGGAGCAGCTATAAAGGGATGTGAAAAAGAGGCTTATGCTTTGTGCATGAAGCTGGATCAAAAGAGATATTTGGAGAGACACGCAGGAAAGGGTAAATCCTCAAATAGCAACATTAACACAATTCCAAAAGAGCTCAGGAATTTAATGTTCGATATGAAATTCAAGGATGGCGAACCTAGAATCAGTGGGAGGAGACTAACCATTATGCATAGATGAGGATAAAGATCGTGTCTTGGAATGTGAGGGGACTTAATGACGAAAGAAAGAGGGGGGTGGTAAGAAATCTGATTAATCAATGGAGTGCAGATGTGTATATTTTGGTAGAAACAAAGTTGGGGGGAAATATAGATAGACTCATACATAGTATCTGGGACAATAGATGGGTGGGAGAGATACATTTGGAGGCAGATGGTAGCAGGGGGGGAATAATTATTTTTGGGACAGGAGAGTTTGGAAAGGGGAAATGGTAGAACATGGCAACCAAAGCATAACATGTAAAATGTCTGGGGAAAATTCTGATTTCTTTTGGTTTGTAACAGCAGTGTATGCTGATTGTAAAAGAGTGGAAAGAAGAGAGTTATGGGGGGAGCTATATTCAGCGGGGGGAAGGTGTGCAAGACCTTGGGTGGTGGGAGGTGATTTTAATGTAATCAGATATCCCAATGAAAGAACAAACTGTTTCAGAATATATGGAGCAATGTCTGAATTCTCTAAATGCATTGAAGAGATGGAACTT